GCTTAATGGTGTTGAACATGTCTGGCTAAAGAGAAATACCACTTTTGGGCCTTCCCAATGCTCTTGTTGGGGACACTCAGTTTATGAGTTACAAAGCACATTTTATTTGGTGCTGTCAGGATTCCTTTCCCACTCTGAACTCTAGGGTACAGATGTGGGGACCCGCATGAAAGCCCCCTAAGTTTATTTCTACCAGCTTAGGTTAAAACCTGGTACGCTGCCACCACCAAGTGATTTAACAAGAAACAAGGAAAGGACCACTTGGAGTTCCTCTTCCCCCAAAATATCCCCCCCCCAAGCACTTACACCCCCTTTCCTGGGGAGAATAATATCCTAACCAATTGGTTACAAAGTGATCAAAGACCCAAACCCCTGGATCTTTGGACAATGGAAAAATCTGTCAGATTCTTAAAAGAAGGATTTTATTAAAAAGAAAAGGTAAAAATCATCTCTGTAAAATCAGGATGGAAAATAACTTTACAGAGTAATCAGATTCAAAGAGCCAGAGGAACCACCGCTAGCCTTAGTTTCAAAGTTACAGCAAAACAGGGATAAACCCCCCCTCTAGCAAAGGGAATATTCATAAGTTGAGAAAACAAAGATAAACTAACACGCCTTGCCTGGCTGTTACTTACAAGTTTGAAATATGAGAGACTTGTTCAGAAAGATTTGGAGAGCCTGGATTGATGTCCGGTCCCTCTTAGTCCCAAGAGCGAACACCCACCAAAACAAAGAGCACAAACAAAAGCCTTCCCTCCCACCCCAAGATTTGAAAGTATCTTGTCCCCTTATTGGTCCTTTGGGTCAGGTGTTAGCCAGGTTACCTGAGCTTCTTAACCCTTTACAGGTAAAAGGATTTTGGTGTCTCTGGCCAGGAGGGATTTTATAGTATTGTACACAGGAGGGTTGTTACCCTTCCCTTTATGGTTATGACAGGTGCTTTCAATCCCCTGGGATCAAAGAAGTCAGACAGAGCCAAGCTGCCCTCTATCTGCTTTTAGGGTATCAGCTTCTGTTCTACATCCTCCACCAGCGGTCCATTGGCCTGGGTTCAACAGCATTATCAGGCCACTGGTAATCAGGAAGAAAGCAGGAGGAAATGTTAAGGGGGAGCCTAGAGGAGCAGCCCTCTTTGAAATCCTCAGATCCACTGGCTGCAAGGGACAGGATAGGGGGAGGGCAGATGGATGCACTTGGGTACCAGAAGGATAAGGTGCATGGCTTATCGTCCATCTCTGCAAAACCACAGCGCCTTTTCACAGAGAACAACATTCTCCCTTCAGCTAATGGAGCCAAAAACCTTCTGACCAGGATGGAGCTGAGTCAGGAAGGAGGGCGCCTCCCCAAATCAATGCAGGGATGGCACCGGCCCAGCACAGGCAGCTGTGCATCTAATCCCTGTTTCGTGCTTGGAACCCAACTGGGCATTATTTATTTTCCCTTCAAGTGACAGTGCAAAAGTTATACTGATCAAACGGCTCATTCCTCAGGCAGGGGACTCTGTGGCCCAGTGTTCATTATCCTTCACCTTTCAGTGCTGGCTGCAGTGTTTACTGCAGTCCATAGCTCAGACCCTATGGACCAGTGATCCATCTTGGTTGCTTTTGGTGCCATCTCCCCTCCTGGGTGCAGCATCTCTAGCCTGCCCATGTATATCGGCTGCCCGTGCCCCCACTGCAATGGAGAGCACAGAGGCCTTTGCAGGCTCGCTGCCGGTGTCCCTGCAGAACAACAGGCTAAATCACTGACTTCCAAGTCAGCTGAGCAGATGGGCACGTCCAGAACTGTCTGATTTTGTAGCCGGACATCAACTGAAGGTCCAGTCTGTGCTCCACATTTCTGGCCTCCCCACTCACCCACATCCTTTGCTATTGTTTGATGTCTGGCAGCCACTTACCATGGCGTGCCTTGCGGTCACTGTTCTCAGATCGAATGCAGTTTAGTTTTCAGGCCAGGGTAAGTGGACTCCCAAACCTTTTATGCAAGTCCTGCTACTGCTGGGTTTGCCTTGCAATGCTGGGCTCCTGGGTCAGCCCCTGGGGTCTGCCTCTGTTAGGGAACCCTCATTCCTAGCTAAGGTCAAAGTGCTGCCGAGCAACTGCCCTGGCAGCAGGTGGCAGTTGAGGTGGGCGAGGTGGAATGGGCCATAGTCTCTGGCAGGAATTTGTTCAATAAGCCCACCAGGTGGAGTGCTGCGTCTGAGACTAGAAGAACCAGGATTCTGGCTGACAGGCTTCCAGGCCTGTGAATCAGACTTGATTTACTCTAATCCAGAGTGCCAATGCTGAGGCAGAATATTACATTATGGGCCAGCCAGGTGGCTGGTCCTTCTAGCAAAGAACAGAGTCCCGTGATATCTAATTAGCTAAGGGCATCTGTGTTTAACTAGCGACCCTGGTTACTCCACTGGGCTTAGCTCATCAGCTGGGCTACTTAGTGCTGCACTAAAGAAATGCTTACCTGAGTGCAGTCGAGCCAGCGAAAACTGAATTTCCCAGGGAGATACAGACACCACTCCCATGCACAAACATCACACACACGTTCTATCTGCACATGTGCCATTCACAGTCAGACCTCCACCTTTGGATGGGTTATAACCCCTCCTACTTGAGGGCATGAGCCCTCTGACTAACAAAACTCAGGAAGAAAAGTCCCTTGGGGCCAGGTTATCCCAAAACTGTAGGGTTTCTTGCACCTTCCTCTCAAGCAATTTGTTCTGGCCAGAGGCTGATTGAAAATTTTCTATTCAAACTTTTTTTGATAGACAATTGGGTTTTCGACTAAATGAAATTCTGTGCAAAAAGTATCTGCTATCCTTGAAAACTTCCAATTTTTTATTGGGAAATCAAAAACTGAAAATGTTTTGGATGAAATTGTTCCAGTTTTCAGCTGAAAATATTTGGATCTCAGCCACAAAGTCAAAATTTGCTAAAGACCTATTTTCCAGATACCGCTAATCTCTCTCTCACTAACTATCTACAGATCTCTGTATTTACACACACACATCTCTATTCGGGCTGGTTTCCTTTCTGCTTTTTCAAAGGGATGAACCTCTTCATCTCAAAAGTCAAGAAAAAAAATGGTCATGGTAAGAAAATGTTCATTCTATATCTATGGGCCACCTCCTCCTCCTGGATTGGATCTCCACGTACTCTCCTACTTCCCCATTATTAGAGCCACTATTGCAATAATTAGCGCCTCGCTTTTTCCTTTTCCGGGCTCTGCCATTAAAGGGTGAATATGCAGAGGTAACAGCGAGGGCAGCCACTATTGTGACTTTGTATAAAAAAATATAGAGAGAGCATTTTGTTCAAACATTTGTCTCGAAGGAACCACATTTGCGGTTGCAACAGTTAACAAAAAAGATTCCCTCGTCTTCCCAGTAGCTAGCTGCGTCTTGGCTGCGTGCCGCCTCACTGGAAGACAGGATTAGGGACTGAAGTTGCAGACACATAAGAGAAGATTTGTTCTTGTGTTAGCTGGACTGGAAGATATTGTTTGTGGGGATTATGTTGCTTGTACATGGAACAGTCCTGCTTCCAAATTCTGTTGGCGACGTAGAAGAAAAACAATGTCGTGTCCCTCTTGAGATCTGACAGCAATGCCAGAACAATGCTTTGCAATACCAGGGGGAGATTGTTTTCGGATCGTTTTATATGGAGCTGCAGTGTCTGGCATTTCCTTTGCTGCAAATAGGCTAGAGCCCGAGCTATAATAGATTCAGCGGGCTCTATAGTTAGTTAGTTGACATGATTCGTTTAACTGGGAAATGAAAATGATTATTATTTATATTACAGGAGGTACTTTGAGGTCCCATTGTGCTAAGAGCTGTACTAAGACATAAGAGACAGACCGTAGCTCAAAGAGGTTCCAGAATAGACACGACACACACACACTGAGAAAGCTGGAAAATGAAATACTACGGGCCGGATCCTCAGCTGAGCTCCTTTCACTAAGCTGATTGATGCCAGCCACCAACCTGAGCGTATACATCTATCCCAGTACATACTCTTTTCCATCCTGGGGAGGCTGGAAGCCTACAGCATGTGAGGCAATGCAGAGGCCTGCCTGAGGGAAAAATATGCATGGTAAATCTCCGGCAGCATGAAACAGGTGCGTTCCATGCAAGGTCCCGGGGGAAAGATGAACTCTGCCGGTGGGTGTCTAGTTAAGGGCGAGTTATAAGTTGTAGTCGCTGGTCTGTCCGTCTGTCCCTCCTTGTTAACTTTTGTCTTGTACTTAGATCATGAGCATTTTTGCAGCAGGGACCTTCTTTTTGTTCTGTCTTTGTACAGCACCTAGCACAATGGGGTCCTGGCCCCCATTCCCATGGGTTACCATGTGCTCCCACTAATAGAAAATGGTGAAAACCAGCCCCAGAATAACACAGAATTCCCCCCAATTCCATTTCAGTATCAGATTCTGTTTGTTACAGGTCCTGGCACTTCATTCTGTAGTAGGGTGACTAGATGTCTCGATTTTATAGGGACAGTCCTGATATTTGGGGCTTTTTCTTATATAGGCACCTATTACCCCCCACCCCCTGTCCCAATTTTTCACACTTGCTGTCTGGTCACCCTATTCTGTAGCATGATCCTTCCCACTTCCTGGACTAGGGATGCCCAGATGGCAGGTGACCCTGTGCTCTCCCATAAGATCACAGCTCTGCAGAAATAGGCAGACTCAGCTGCAGTCATCCCTGAAATGCGACCGCTGGTTCAAATCCATTTTGTAGCCTGGGGCTGCCTGGCAAATGCAGTTGCTGTGAAGTGAAAGGGAAAAGGTGGCATCAGTTACCTGCCTGCAGGCCTGACACACAGAACCCTTCCCGCTCGGGAATGGGGAGGTGTAGGGGCTGCTACCCACGGTCACAGCTCCTCCTCTCCCATCTTCCAGCAGAAAGAAACTAATCCTGGATGGAACCCTCCTGCTGAGTACTATGCCTGTCCTCACTCAGCTTGTTTATACTTGCCTCTGGTAAGAACATATTCTAGCAAGTCGGTCCTCCCTCCCACCCAGGCAGGTGAGTTCAGCACAGGCTTCTCCTATACCCTGGCCCAATGACACTGGGAAAGCTCTACACATGCATCCATCCTCCCTCCCCGAGGGGTTTCCTGCATCACTGTTGTCTTCTCCATTCTGCTCCAGCCTCGGGTGGCTTTGGGGTTTCTAAGATGCTATAGAAACGAAGGGGCACTTACAACTCCATCTGATTATATGGACCCAGCGTAAGATCTGTTGGGTTCGACCAGAAATGAATTTTTTCAACTATTTTTTGGAATTTCCCGTGAGCCAAAGAAATGGTTATTCACCCAGCTCTACACACAAAGTACTGAGGATAAAGGAACAACAGTGTTTTATTGTCACTATAAAAACCACTCTGCAGCATTATCTCAAGAGAGCCAGGCCCTCTGACATGTAGCTTGCAATGTCACATACACACAACAGCACTGCCTACAGGTGAGGGAAGTTTGCGAGAAGTTTTTGATCAAGGCAGCAATTTTTCCACTGCAGTTCAATTACAACGTAAAATCAAGCACATTAAGGCTGAGGCTCTCAGGAGCTATTAATTCTTGAGAAAAGGATAATGAATCTAATAAAATTAGATTTTCCCGCTCCCAGGGGGCCCATGTGAATTATACACAAGGTATAGACAGCCATGGCCCCATTTAAATGCATCATGTAGGCCTGAGGCTGATGGTAGTGCATAGTATGTCATAGGGATTGGTAGTGGAAAATCTCTGATGCTTTCATACAGAACCTTGTTTGAGCGAGCTGTTAAACAGACATTCTTACTGCCTAGGAGACTAGAGATCAGAAGGGAATATAAGGCAGTATACATCAGCTGGGGGTCTCTGCTACTGTTCTAAGCAGCCAGAACCCATTATGAACCCCATGAGTGACTCAGCTAGTTACTGAATCTATCTGTCTATCTATCTATCTACTGATATGGCCAGCCAGAGCACTACAGGATCTGAGCATTTGGAAATAAAATGTTTAACTACAGTTACTAATTCGGAGCGGCAAACCCACTCTGTGTTGAATAAGGTAATTGTGACAAAGGCAGTGTGGAAGGAGCAGAGATTGTAAAGCAGCCACTGCCCACTTGCACACGGGGCTGACACTTAGAACATTTCTCCAACAAATCGTGTTCATCTATGCATCTGATAATTTTGTTCTTTACTATCGTTTCAGCCAATTTGCCTGGTACTGAAGTTCCTGCCTGTAATTGCCAGGATCATCTCTGGAACCTTTTAAAAAAATTGGCGTCACATTAGCTATCTGCCACTTAGAAGCAATCGGGGTGAAATCCGGGCCCCATTGAAGTCAACAGCAAAATTCCCATTCGTTTCAATGGGGCCAGGATTTCACCCCAGCTTTCTTTAACTCCCACCCCCCTCCAAACATCAAACCAAACCAAGCCTAGAGGTGGATGCACAAAACTTTCTTGAAATACTCCTGACATTATGAAATGAGGCAGCAGGCTCCTTCTCCCATGTTTGCTGGTTTATCCTCCACCCCAATAATCTGTATAGCTAATTTTTCATGCACAATAACCTTCTTGTTACGCTGTAGGGACCTAATCCAACGCACATGACAGTCAAGACAAGGATCCTATCAGTTTCTCTGTGGGTTGGATGAGACTCCTAGAGCTCAGCCACAATTGGGCAGCCAAGCCCCCATAGCTGGTTCCTTGGACTGGGGGAAGAGATAGTAAGTTCACCTGAGCTACTCAAAGGGGTTGGTTGCAATCATTGGTTGCAATCATTGCAAGCTGATGCTCTGGAGAAGCCAGAAACACCTGCTATCAGGCAGAGGCAGCTCCTGCTCACGGGAGTATCTCTGGTGCCAGCCATCATGGCCATATGTAGGAATGTGAATCGCGTTGCCGTTACAAAACCGCTCTCTCGTTCCTCTTTTTCTCTCACGCTGAATCTTTGGACTTGGCCAGATGCTCAGTAGCTGCTGGGAAGCCAGCTCCGCTCCCTGGCCCCGGCTCCTTACATACTCCTGGGTCCGGACTGGTTTGCAGGAATGAAGATTAATGACTGCTGCTCGGTGCCTTCTGATCCACTTCATAGCACCATCTGTTGCGTGTGCTTGGGAAGGGATTAAAACCAAGAGGAGTGGGGAGAGAAGACACCAGGTTAGAAAGGGAGAGTGGAATAAAACAAGCCTTCCCCTAACCATCAGACCGTACCCATACTATGAGAATAGAAAGCATTCCCCAGGCAAAAAGTGTTGTCAAGACAGAGATAAGGCTGAGACTTTGCTCCTAAAATCTCCACTAGGCAAAATGGTGCAGCCTCTGCTCAGACCCCATCCCCTCACCTCCGGTGGCTGTCAGAGAAATGGAGGTTGCCTCCTTGGTAATACAATCAGAGAGCTGACGTTTATACAAGACATGGAGGACGTCCGGACAGCCTCTGGGAGGTTCTAACTAGAGCTGGTCCAAACAATTTTTTGAGACGAAAATTGGGTTTTTGATTAAATTGACATTTTTGGCCAGGAAACATTCATTTTGGTCAACATTTTTCAGGCTTTTCTTGAAAAAACAAAACATTGGAGGAAAAAAAATCCAGTTTTAAACAACTGGAAATCAGAACTTTTGGCAGAAACCTGAAAAATTGCCTGACAGTTTTTCATTTGCTTTGAAATTTTATAGGACAAATGAAACACATGTCCCAACCAGTTCTAGCTCTACCACTCGGCTCCTCTTCCCGGCACATCCCAGACTGACCCATGTAAACTTTAAGCACGTTGGGTAGCCTATGGAAATTTAAGCATTATCTTAGGCAAGATGCTTGTCACAATGATAGCTACCTGCTGCTGTGACCTCTAAATGCCCCCATCCAATTCATACCCACCCAACTATTCTATGTTCTGGGGGTGGAGAAGATATGAGTGGTTAGTTATGACCTATTTTGGGAGAGTGCTTGGGGCATGGTAGAACCTGGAGCTCCTATATGTAGGGTGGGACACAGATGAGGTTCTGTTCCAGATCGGAATCTATAAAGATGGTGATCATCAATTATATGCAGGGGGCTAAGCGTTGTGTCCAGGTCTCAACATAAGTACACTGTAGGGGGTATGCGTGAACAATCCAGACTTACTATTGGGCTGGCACGTTGCTCTCATACAAACATCTCCCCTGGATGGCTTTGAGTGGGTGTCTGAAAATTCGCCCTGAGAAATATGGTGCATCGAAGAGCAGTAGCCAGTCAGAGAGAGGCGCAATGAGAATCTGTCAGTATCAGAAGGGTGTCAACACTAAAGAGAGAGAGGTGCTATACAGGGTGAGTCAGAGAGAGTGAGAGTGAGTGTGTGTGTGTGGTGGGGGGGAGGTGGGAAGTGGGGGGGGTCTGACTAGGAGTAACAGTCAGAAGTGAAGAAGGATACAATTTAGGCTGAATATAAAGGAAGATTCATAGATTGGCCAGAAGGGACCATTAAATCATCTAGTTTGACTTCCCGTATAGCACAGGCAATAGATTTCACCTGGTTAATGCTGTATTGAGCCCAAAGCGTAACGTCCAGAAAATCATCTCCGGTTCTGATTTGAAGACTTCAAGAAATGGAGAATCTGCCGCTTCCCTTGATCGTTTGTTCCAAGGATTGATCACCCTCACTGGTAAAACCAGACATCCCGTTTAGAAATAAGGCACATTTTTAAAAACGTCCACCCATTACATCTTGTTATGACTGTCTCTGCTAGATTGAAGAGCCCTTTAATAGCCTGTATTTTCACTCTGTGAAATCACTGGTACCCAACAAACAGGCCACCTGTAGATCTTTTTGATAAGGTAAACAGATTTAGCTCTTTTAGTGTCTCACTGGTGGGCATTTTCTCCAGCTTTTGAATAATTTTTCTGGCTCTACTTTGCACCCTCTCTAAATTGTTAACATCCTTTTAAAAATGTGGACACCACAACTGGACCTAGAATTATCTCTGAACAACGTCTGTGGAATTGTTTCCCAAAAGAAATGGCTTGGTGTTCCATCTCCTGGATCATTTAAGACTAGACAGGAGATAATACTAGGATATGCATCGTAGGGTACAGCTCAGCACAGGCCTTCCTCCCCTCCAGAGTGGGGTGGACAAGATGGGATCTTTTTGTATTTTTAACTATTATGATCCTGTATTAAAACGCGGACAGTTTCCCCTTGGGTCTAATAGAAAATGTGGACAGCATTATGATGGACCCACAGAGAGTGCTTGATTAAAATGTAGACAGTGTCTGGTTGATCCAATGTAAAATGTAGCCTGTACTTTAGTGGGTCTGGTATAAAAGTAGATACATTCTGGCCAGTCTAATATCAGCTGAAGCTATTGCTCTGGTCAGTCCAATATAAGATGTTCTAGTTGGTTGAAAGCAAAGTGCAGACAATGTTCCAATGGGCCCAATATAAATGTAGGCAGAGTTGCAGACAGTCCAGCATACAGGGAGGCAGCACTCCAGTCAGCCCAATATTCACATAGGTTGAGCTCCATTCAGTCCAATATCTATATAGGCAGCACTGTAGTGTCTGGGAATCTTAGTTAACAAGTAACCTACTGGGGGTTTGGGCATAAGCTAACAGAATGCTGCATGCGTACTAGCAAGAACTATATAAATAGAGAATTCTTTGATCCTGAAGCACTGAATCTCTGTGGTATAGGATATATCAGCACAGAGGCTAATAAAACAGTGAGAGATCAGAGGGCCAATTTCAGGAATTCCTGCCCTAGGAACACAAGAATTCTGATCTAAATCAGACATGAGGGAGGTGTGTGTGTATGGAGGGGGGGAAGGGGGGATCTCGTTCCAGCAAACAATTAAAATCTGGAGATTAGTGCCTGCCAGTTCCCAGCAGGAGTCTGGAGAGCTAGGTAACCTCCATATCAATATATCTTTATGAGAGCATTTACCTCCTGGTGCTTCAGATGCTCTCCAGACACGCCGAGAAATATATATTAAGAAGTAAATAATTTGTGCTATTCCAAACAAATGAGTGTCTCCCCCACCCCCACCAACCCCATCCTGAGATCAGAGCTGTGGGCATTTTAACTGGAGAAGCATTGGGTTTTGTGATGTTCATGGTGGAATTACCTGTAAATATCATCACAAGCCTTGGCGACCCTGCCAGCATTTGGTGGAGCTGACTAGGCAAACGTATCCGTGTGGATCTTTTTGGGTGGGAAACCTGATTTTTCCTGGCGTGATCCAATTGGTTATTGAGACACACAGCCTCCTATTTGTTCTTGGGGGTGAACAGTGCAGCAGACGAGCTGCAGGAAAGCCCAGAAGGAGGCCAGAGGTGCTCAGTGCGCTATGCAAAGGTCAGGGGGTGGGGGAGAGGGAAAGGGAGGAGGACAGAGCAGAATCAGGGGACTAATGGCCCGTGACACTGAGCAAACTCTGGTTGGATGATTGAAACATGCAGTGAAAATTTCGCCCTGCCACGCTGATATCTATGGAGAGAGAGCTTTGTATTGTCTCTTTATGTTCATGTTTCCCCAATGAAATTCACGTTGTAACTTTAGTGATACTAAGCAGGCAACAATAGAAGCTTGGGGGGGGGGGGAAATCTTGGCATTATCTCTTCTACAGCTGTGAACATCTGTATTAATGCCCAATTACTGGTACACTGAGCCCTGTAGGAAACTGACAATCACTTGGATTCTGACTCCTTAGAAGACAAGTGGAAGGGATCTACCCCAGGGGAATGCCAGAGGGACAATGCCTTGGGCTCAGCCCCTCTAGCCACTGGGTGGCACTGTTGCTTCAGAAGAATACTGCGGGAGCAGTATTGATCTGGGAGTTAAAAAGGTGATCAGCTTCCAGTGACAGAGGTTCTGAAATGGCACTTTCGGCAGCTTAATAAGTCACTTCTGCGGACTCCTCCTGTCACTGATAAAAGGCACATTTCATGCAATCGTGTGGAGTAAAGAATGGTAGATGAAGCTTCAGTTTAGTTTTGCCGCCTAAGAATCATATGGTACTGCATCATCGGTAAATTAGAGACTATGCCCACACAATCCAAACTCATTTGGGAGGGATTAGCTCCTGATAGTTTCTGCTCAGAGGCTGGAGTAACTAAGTGCTGAAGCCAAATCTCCTTCCTTTCTCTTGGATATTTCATACCATACCAGGACTCCTTATTCAGTTCTTCTGCGATGCTCTCCAGATAAAGATGTGTGTCAGGGCATATGTCGCATGGTTTGGACAAGATAACATAAGAATGGCCAGACGGGATCAGACCTATGGTCCATCTAGCCCAGTATCCTGTCTTCCAACAGTGGTCAGTGCCAGATGCTTCAAAGGAAATGAACAGAACAGGGCAATTATCAGGTGATCCATCCTGTTATCCAGTCCCAGATTCCGGCAGTCAGAGATTTAGGAACACCCAGAGCATGGGGTTGTGTCCCTCACCATCTTGGCTAATAGTTACTGATGCACCAAGCCTTCAGGAACTTACCTAATTCTTTTTTGACCTCAGTTATACTTTTGGAGTTCACAACGTCCCCTGCCAACGAGGTCCACAGGCTGACTGTGCGTTGTGGGAAGAAGCACTTCCTGATGTTTGTTTTAAACTTGCTGCCTATTAATTTCACTGTATTTAAGGTGTGAGTGTACCATGGATACATAAAATGGCATTATGATATTTTCTGGCATTATGATATTTTCTCCCTCATATCTTCTGCAGTGAAGACTGAGGCAAAGAATTCATTTAACTTCTCCATAACAGCCTTGTCTTCCTTGAGTGACAATCACTTTAGTGACAATCACTTTAAAGCCCTAGGCAAACTGCCATTCCACCTCAGTCGTTCAAAGGAGTCCTTCTGAAGCCCATAATAGGGACAATCTGGGGCTGTCAGGTTGCTGGCAGGAGAAGAGCAGATCACACCCGGGACCAGCTCATACATCAGCCCTTCATTTCTACAATCACTATAGGATCCCGTGCGCACCAGCTGGGAGTTCTTTTCAGGGCCGGCAGCGGCTCCAGCTTTTTTGCCATCCCAAGCGGCAAAGAGGGAAAAAAGAAAAAAAGGGAAAAACCGATTGAGTTGTTGCCGAAGTGCCGCCGAAGAGGAAGAGACGGAGTGAAGGACCCGCTGTCGAATCGCTGAAGACTAAAGCGGAGCGCTTCAGCTGCCACCGAAGTGCCGCCGAAGAGGAAGAGACGGAGCGAAGGACCCGCTGCCGAATCGCTGAAGACTAAAGCGGAGCACTTCAGCTGCCACCAAAGTGCCGCCGAAGACCTGAACGTGCCGCCCCTTTCTATTGGCCGCCCCAGGCACCTGCTTCCTTCGCTGGTGCTTGGAGCCGGCCCTGGTTCTTTTGCAAGGTTCCTCCGCTGGCTTTACTAGCACTAGGTGCTGAAAGTGCTTTGCAATCATCAGTGAATGGAACCTTTTGTGTGACCCCTCCCACCCCCCACCATTGAGGTCCTCGTCACAAGCACCATACTTTATCTAAGGACTTGAGCATATTCCTGCTTCTGAGCCCATCAATGCTGCTAACTAAATGGCCAGTAGGACCCCGTAGGGCAAATGTGCTGCCCACTCAGCACTGCCAACCCTTACTGACCTAGGACGAGTACACCGAGGCAGGTGACAGTCCCTGGGCTTGTTCTTGGTCCCACTGGAGTCAATAGGAGGTTTTGTTTCATTGGTTTCCATGGGAGCAAGATTGAGCCCACCAAGAAGCTAATTTCTATCATCAATTATCGCCACGATCTCAATGAAAGCACCTTGTTTTTTCATAGTTTTCGTTCTGAGTCGATTCCTTGCTGGGCTCAAAACCCTGCTCATCCCAAGAATAGGAGCGGGAAAGGCAGCAGGAAAGCAAGCCTCGTCCATGCTTTCCTCTCAACGTGCCTCACCCCTGGCCTGCAGAGACCTCCTTGTCGAGGTCGGAAGGGAGTTCAGTCACCCTGGCTTACTCAGGAAGACCTTGGCCTCTCTGTTGAGACTGCCAACAAGAGGGGGTCAGTTAGTGCCAGTGGAGAGCTGGACACCCATTCCAGCTGGAAATGGACCGAGTCCCCAGATTATTTTGCAAGGCATACACAAAAGAGAGTGCGCGGTGGGTGCACTTTTGGGACAACCTTCCAGTGTGTACCCCAGAAGCAGTCATTTACAGACACTCCCTGTCCTTGTTGGCTGGTGGTATGGGGGTAGGTGTTTTGTTTTGGAGTTCTGTTTTTCTGTAGTCTCTGCTGTGTGTTACTGACATGGGCTTTATGTTTGCACTGACCGAGATAATAAAGAATCCTGTGTTTTCAAAGGACAGAATCCACGTTTTTGAAGCATGTTACATCTGGCAAGCCAGCAGGAGGGGTTGTGAGCGGCTGGTCCCTGAAGTGCGAAAACAACCCCCCCCAGTGAGCAGAACCTAGAGACCAATATAGCCAGCAGCTGGAACTTGGAGCATGGCAGGTTAGCTCTAATTAGGTGCCTTAATCAGAACTGAGACAGCGAGGACATTGCTCGTTTGGAAGATCAGGGGATGCCTCCTTTGTTGGACCCAAGGGACGGGATGGAGCAGATAACCACCCCATCTCTAGGGAACAAAATAGTAGAGAATCCAACCCCAGCGGGAGAAATGAAAGCAGCACGAGCTCTGCACTATGCTCCTGCTAAAG